AGAAAGACTGGCAATCTCGGTTATCTTAGCTTCCCTTTAGCAGGGGCGTGTGTAGTACAATTTTTTTTTTCCACCGCCAGAAATCGTAAAGCCCCGATTAAGTCTCGAGTGACACATCCGTAACCACCAAAAAACTCTTCTTTTTTACTTTTCTACTTTATTATAATATACTTATATTTTTTATAAAGTATCAAATAATTTTTATAATTTTCCAGGAATAGAATGTAATTTTTGACAAAACCCGTCAACTAAAGACCCCCACATACGTTGTCCTACTCAGTTACATCAAAGAAATAGAAGTATGACTTATTATCATTTTTTTCCTTTTTATAATCAGGTTGATTTTATTTTTGCAACGAAGACCTTCGTCCGGTAAGCACTGCCAGTGCATCACCAAGGGCCGACGGCGACAGACCTAGGACGACGGCAGGCCTCCAGCTGCCCAGGTTACGCGCGTCGGTCGCTCCCTCAAGTGTTGCTTTTTACCGCCAGTTTATAACAACTACAAACTGTGTAGTCTTTTTCGATTATCGCCCCATAAACAGTTTAAACTGTCTTGTTTAATAAACCACACCTGCTACTATTTGATTCGACTACTCGTAGGGTTCAAACGGGCCCGGGCGTGGAATTTTAAGATAATGTGTCGTTTCCGAATGTGAGCGACTACTACGACGCCTGCCCGACCTTGAGTATAGGTCCTAAGCGCCTCTTGGTGTGCACTGCAGTTGCTGTCGCGTTATCCGTGGTTCCGTTTGTCGTGTAAACTAGTTGTCTGAAAAGATTCGACAAACGTTGATGGAGGAACTCACTAGAAAGCTAGTGGGTCCAGAAAGCAAAAGGGCCTATAATTGTTCACTAAATGTCCACCCGCTAGTTATCCTACGGTTGCTGCCTCGCTGCACGTTGATATAGTGCACAATGACCTTATTCTGCGCGGTTCGTCTTCAATTACGTAACAACTTTGTCACCGATACTAAGAAAGGTCGATTCAACTCTATAGCTTAAGATGTCGCGTTCTATTCCGTCCGCCATTCCAAGGAATCTCGCAAAGACAAAGGACGTTGTCAAAATCGAAGAAGGGGGGCCAGAGATAAGGAAAATCCACCCAAATGGCCCCAGAAGAGTTTTTTTTGCTAAATCTGTCTAAAAAGGTCAAATATCACTTGTTTTGCATCAATCTTGATACAGGGTACTTATTATATGTTGTACTTTGGATTCCTAAAGCTTTTATTCTACTAACCCATCATCCAAGGTTAGTTTTCACTATAAGTACAAAATATTTTTTGGACGGACACTATAATTTACAGTTTTTTACCATGTTCAATCTGAATTTTCTTTAAAATAAAAAACATCTATATTGATTCGGACTTTTCTACATCCAACTCACAGGTTTATCATTACTTTGAGAACAAAGATTATTAATTTAACCCTTTTAGAAGGGAAGATATGGTCGTTTGTTCTGGGAATGTCATTTTCGAGCCTGAAACCTGAAAAATAGGCTTGAGGCCTAGTATAATTTGATATAATTTGTAGTACACCTTGCTATACTTTATTGTGCATTTGTGCAATTGACAACAAAAACAGTTCCCAATGTCTGTTGGGTCCGTCCATTATTGGGTTAATTTTGTATATTCTAAATGTGACATTCCCCGTATGTAATGCATATACTGTACATCTGCAAGTATTTCTTCAAAGTATCACTGAACAATGCAATGATTAAGTTTGCTTAGGGTACCATAAGAACGATTATAACATCAATGACACTGTGGAGTCTTTGGCCTAAACTGTGAGTCTGTCATGATGGTGAATAAGCTACCATTGGAGAGTTTAAACTGGTCACAACCCAAAATGCATCAAATCTGGGCCAAATGCCTTCAGGTTGTACGCTAAAATGCTCAATTCAATCATCAAACTGAGTTTCATTCAAGCATTAAACCGTACTTCCTGTTCTTCTCTGACAGTTTTCGACTTACAGTTAAGAAATGCTGAACAGTGAAATTAACCGCACAAACTATTAAGACTGAACCGCATTATCATGGCCTTCATCTCACAGAAAATCAGCTGTGATGCCAACTGTTGAATCAGGCCAAAGGTAATGGTCTTTTTTCCACACCCTTAAAAGCCTTTGTGTATACATGTAGAGTGCACTCCTCTGCAGCCTGAAACCTGGTACTCCCACAGCCATGCATTAAGGAGGTATGGGAACTATCCAGCACAAAGAAATATGGAACCGTCGCCCTCTCTTTTATGTTACCCTCTAAAAAGTCAAGCTTCAAACATACTGTGATATATTTAGAAAACAAGTTTAAACCCATCACACTTACACAGCGCTCAGGAGGCAAAGAAAACAGCTGTAAAAAACTACCAAAAAAACGATTTCACGATTTACTACGAAGTTGCGTTTAATAGATTCAGATATATGTGCTACTTCTGGTCCTGAAGCGTTATATTACACACATTTCAACAGCTATGGTAGTAAAAATGTCAACTGAGGAAAGTCAATAAAATCAGCACTTTTACATGACTGAAGTTTAGGTTATGCTTCATATGATTGTTTATTCAATGTGTGTGTGTGTGTGTGTGTGTGTGTGTGTGTGTGTGTGTGTTCTTAACGCTAAACTATAACAGACAGTTTAAAAAAGGGGGTGAGGTTTCAGACCACGTCCAAGAGTGTAACCTTGGATTGAATAAGTGGGTCATGTGTGTATGTGTGTGTCCTTGTTTGCAATTCAACCTTGAGGAATGGCTGATGTCATCTGCACAACTGAACCGTGAGAACAAAAGACGGCCAATATGCACATTAAGGAAGTCGTGAAACTATTCATTCTTGTATTTTCAGAGCTCCTCTACTCCTTAAAAGGTCTCCTATTATGCTATTTTTAGGCATATATTATGGCTCTCAGATATATACAAATATATAAAAACATGTCTATGACGTGTTTTGCTGAAAATACCAAACAGATCATGCATTTTAGATATCCCTCATATCCCTCTATTTCAGCCCTGTTTGAGAACTGCTGATTCGGGGTCCTTAGCTTGAAAAAAAAAAAAAAGGAGGGGGAGCTTGTGCCTGCCCAGAATTCTACGAGATACTCAGCTAAACGCTGCCGTGATTAAATGCCATCATGTTCCAAACCACATCAAGGATTATCTCTGAAACAGTATGGAGCTCAAATGCTTTTTCTCTTGCGTGTTTATCACAAGGTCCTTTTTGTATTTCCTCTCTCCAGTACAGTTTAGCTCTGAGTAGTTAGCGATGCTAATGTAAACAAAGACCATATTACGTCCAAAACAGTCGGGCATTGTTTCTGATTGTGATAGGGCCGTGGCCCGTGGGTCCACATTTCAGATATTACGTCATATCGGACGCAGATCTGGATCAGCTCCGTTGTTCCCCTGTTTTTAGAGATGTGGGTACGGAGGAAAAGAGAGAGGGTTTGGTTTTCGGACACTTTGTGAGTCCCGACACACCGGGGACACATCTTTATGCTCTCGGAGTCGGTTGCCGAAACCCTAGTCCATGCGTTTGTCACCTCCCGCTTGGACTACTGCAATGGTGTCCTGTTTGGGGTTCCCAACAAAACCCTGGACAGGCTCCAGTATGTTCAAAACTGTGCTGCTAGGGTACTCACACATACAACGCCGTGGCAGCACATCACTCCCACCCTCATCCACCTCCACTGGTTGCCGGTCAAGTCCCACATCACCTACAAAGTCCTCCTCCTTACCTACAAGTCCTTCCATGCCCGTGCCCCCCAGTACCTATCGGACATCCTTCGCCCACATGCCCCACCCGGGAACCTGCGGTCTTCAGACTCTGGCCTGCTTACCACCCCGCACCAAACTGCGAACCTTCGGGGACAGAGCCTTCAGCGTGGCAGCCCCCACCCTCTGGAACGCTCTGCCTGCGGAGATCCGCAACATCCCCACGCTTGACGCCTTCAAAAGGGCCCTCAAGACCCATCTGTTTACTAAGGCCTTTGGCCCCTAATCTATTTGTTGTTTTGTCTGTCTGACTGGTTGTCTGACTGCCTTTTGTTTTGTTATGTTGATGTTTTGCCCTGTTCTTCTTTGTAAAGCGACCTTGGGTCTCATGAAAGGCGCTATATAAATCCAAGCTATTATTATTATTATGTATAAAAGACATCAAAAAGGATATTTTGCATGATAGGTCCCCTTTAAATGTTCACTGGAAATCAAAAAATGGTTGGTGATGGTCAAAGAGATACAGCTAATGGAAGACCAGGTCACACCCTACCTGCCAAGCAGAGTCCGAAGATGGTGAGAAGTACCAGGATGTAGAGGGAGACGATGGCGTACTTGATGGCAGAGAGGGAGTTCAGGTGAGCACAGCACTGATCCTGCTTCCTGCGACGCTTTCCAGAACCTGAGCAAAACAACAAAGAAATTGGGATCGGTAAAAAGTCCAAATAGAGGTGACAGGTTTTCTTAAGAACAGCAAGTGGAAGTTGGCTTTTGGAATAAATATTTTTAATAAGGTTGTTTGAAGATTAGCCTGCTACAAAACAAAGCTATTTCTCTAAGTGGTGGCTGGCACATTGTGCGAAAGGCTAAGCTCGTGCTTTCTAGTTTCTTCATGAAATAATGTTATTAAAGGTCGGAGCTAAAACAAATAACCCCAGAAAGCTTTTATTTGAAAATCCTGACATTTACTCAATGACGTACTCTGTGAACACAGAGTAAGACCAAACATTTAATGAATGTGGTGCACGCCATCATGTTATTTACTAAAAACATACTGAAGAGAAAGTACTCTTGATGAGATGTAAGAACGAGCCAATATCAAATACACTTGTTTACTGGTTTATGTCAAATATAAATGTGGTGAGAAATGATGCAAGCATTTGGGAAAGCAACACACACAGATATTGCACAAATGAATTCAACATAATTCACACAAAAACACAACCTCTCAGTGGAGCCATTACTATAATTCATGTCACCACTTAAACCTCCTCTCAGGGTCGACAGATGTTTGGGAATTAGTCTTGATACATTTGACAACTGTTTTTGTTTGATGGAAGCGTTTTTCTATTCAAAGTTTAGCAAAACAAGTGTGTTTTTTATTTGTGTGAGTGTGTGATAGCTTGGCAGGAGGCAGGGATTATGCTGTTTTTGACGAGGGAACATTCCCCTCAGGTCAAAAGGATTTTCAAAGGATTGTTTTTGGAGTCACATCTTTCAGCAGTCATGGGAATAGCAATGTCATGTTACTTTTAATGTTGTTTGTTAAGAAGTTATCCTCAGCAGTGTTACAGAAATTAATGTGTGTTATTCCACATTAAAATAAACATTCTTAAATGGAGATTAGATTTAATCTGGCTGTTATACCAACATGTTACATGCCTCAGTTTCAAGGGAAAGAATAAACACAAATTGATTATGTTTACATGCATGAACGCAAAAGAGAATAATCAGATCATGAAAATAGTATGATTTAACTTTTCCCATAAGTAGAATTATTGCGTTTAGGCATGCAGGAGTTCAACAATGAAGCTGAGAGAATAAATGAATGAATGAAATTCTGCAAACCACTGCTCAAAAACACTACCTTATTCATTATTGTTATACTTCGATATGTCATTTCAACACATTTTTGATGCTATTGAAATAGGGTAACATTTAAAAGGGGACCTATAATGCTATTTTCAGGTTCATATTTGTATGTTGTGCCTCTACAGTGACATGTTTACTTTCTAGTGTGTGAGAGAAACTCCATCTGGGAACTCTTTGCCTTTGCAGACCATTTACATGCACACAAACCTATATACCACACTACAGGAAGGGAACATCCCAAAAAGCATTATACTGTAGGGCCCCTTTAAATATTTTTGAGAGTTTTCAGTTACCACCTACAACATTTAGCTTGAGATGAGCTGGATGGATGAAAAAAAAACATAGACAAATGAACAGCCAGGTGTCTCTGGGAAATCATTATGCCTATGTGACATGACCAGTATGTTAGATATTAAACTCACTGGGATACTAAAAAGGTTTTAATGAGATCCTATCTTCCTGTGAACAGTCACGATGTTGGCTCGAGTCCTGGTTCTGAATTTAAACACTGATTTTGCTGCGCGGCCTCTCAACAGAATGATTTCATTCGGACCGTGACAATCAGTCAGTGGCCACTGGTGGATTGTAGCTGCGCGCACACACACGCACACACACACACACACACACACACACACACACACACACACACACACACACACACACACACACACACACACACACACACACACACACACACACACACACACACACACACACACACACACACACACACACTCTATGATGGAGAACACACGTTCCTCCTGCGTAAGAAAAACACAGCTGGCTCAGATGTGTCACATGACAGGAATGTATAGGATCAGAAATTGCTCTGAGTTAGTTTGCCTCCAGAGTTTAACTCATGCTGAACTGAGACAAAACAACTACACGACACACACACACACACACACACACACACACACACACACACACACACACACACACACACACACACACACACACACACACACACACACACACACACACACGAGAAGCTGCATGACAGTAAACATGACTTGTTTGATGTCATTCCAAGAGTTGGTTGGTAACATTGATATGATACCACCGTCGTGTCTGTGCCTCAAAGGGATAGTTTGGATGTTTTGAAGTGGGGTTGCGCGAGGTACTTATCCATGCCCGTAGTTTGGGGAAACAGAGAGAAGTTCCATCATAAAAGCAAAGCGATGTACTGCTGTGGACGGGCAGCAGCCAAACATATTTTATACTTTATCTTACATAAAGAAATATCAATTAAGTGTACACAATATTTGCAAGATTTACTAGATGTACTCAGCCAAACGTGAGAACAAAAGTCAATGAAATAATTGATCACAATCCCTAGGCCTGATGTGACATCTTCAAATGGCTTATTTTCACACAGTCTTACATCGATAGATATTCATTTTACAGAAGCTGCAAATACTCACATTGGAGCAGCTGATACGGGAATTAGAAAAACATTTTTTTTATTCTTTGCTTAAAAAAAACAATGAATCCATTGTCAAAATGTTCTGTTGATATGTTGAAATGTTTCTCAACCAACAACCTTCTCTACAAAAGACTCTTAAGTAACGCTCTGCAGCTGTCCCAACTGAAACGACAGATAAAAGTCAATATTCATTAATCAATTAACTGGAATCATTACTGCACCGCTGAATGTTCCCTCTGACTCATATCTGGCTGGGATGTCGTTGTCAACATATTGTTGCGTTTAAGAGACAATGGATTTAATACAGGGATTAGGTGGGGTTTACAACATGTGTACGCTCATGGTATTAGTAAACTGGAGGAGCAACAATACAGTTTGCCACAAATCTGTTTAGAAACTGTTTATTTCCTGCAGGGTCATTGTGAGTCAGCCCTGGAACTGCTTCTGACTGTTGACTGAGGGACATTAGTGCATTTACAAGGACTTAGATCCTATTACTTCCCAAATCAAATGCACATGGTGCTGGGCAAGTGCATACAAATCAGTGTCTCTGTTATTGTCGGTTGATGGTGACATGACGTGTGTGTTCGCATAAACAAAACAACAGATGCTTCAAATACACTTATCTATGTGTGTATGTTTGAACTTTAACATGTCGTCATTAAAGGTAATGGTAATGGGCTGTTTAAACTACTTTAAATAAGTGAGACCAATCATAGTGAAGAGGCTTGATTATACCTAATGCCAGAGTTTGTCAAATTAGGAGCACATTTGCTCCGTAAAATCTGATTTATTTTCTGGATGAAGCCTGTATTTTACACACGATTACAAGTTCATAAATCCCTTGAGATGGAGGGGTCCAGGACAAACATAACAACAAATGGCAGACACAACAGCACAACATTAAATAGCCAAATGACTGAAAACATGGGCTGTCTGTCAAACTTTTTAAAATAAACCCAACAATGATGAATGAAGAACATTTATTAAAACGTTAACTTATTCCAATCAGAAAGCGCCTGAAATACATAAGCTTTTTGATAAAATGTTTAAGGTACTAAGGGGATATAGAGAGGACCTTATTAGTGCGTTTAAGTTAATGTGTAATGAACCGTTGTTCACAGTGTGTTTACCTCACTGACAGAAACTTCCCAAATGTTTTTTCCTCTGTTCTACTTCACCTCAACGAAACAAGCAGCTGCATGGTTGGGAATATCTTCTGTAATTGAACGATGTGTGAAAATGTTTCCGGATTAGAGAAGTTGGATGAGGACAGTCTCTCTGATGTGTGTGGCCATTGTTCTCCTTCCACTAAAATGTCAACAAATTCTGTTCCTGAGACTTTCCCACCAAACTCACAGAGCCCTGGGTCGAAATCTGAGAACACCACAGGGTCAGGAGTGGATATGTTGCAGCTGCACCTGTACACACACACACACACACACACACACACACACACACACACACACACACACACACACACACACACACACACACACACACACACACACACACACACACACACACACACACAGGCTAAACCAACAGAGCATAACCCTTGTGGGGATTGGGAGGATTGTGGCTGTCTCTAACCAGAGTCATGAGATATGTCAACAGAGTTTGACAGGCGTTTTGTTTTTGCTGTCCGCCTGTTTTTCTTTTAGCTGGATTTATGTTTTTCTTTAAGCTAGAAATACATTGGCATAAAGACATTTTGCATTAAGGAAAGATCAGTCACGGGGCAAAAGTGGAATATATCCATTGAATTTGGGTTTGAACACCCTGAATTGTGGACTTTACACGATCGCTAGTCCAGAAAACTCTGACTTGTTAATACGACTTGAACGTGAATGGTATTTTCAAGTAGTGATTAAAGTAAAAACCTATACGACTGAAACATGCTGCTCATAAATCTTCTTCTATAAACAGTAGAGTATAATCCTTATAGACCCAACATTTGGCACGATATGAACACAAATATCTCACTCGCCATTTGAAGTACACCTCTGAGAATGTCCATCTCCTGGGGCTTTTTTTATTAAAGTGTAACCTTGAAACAATTCCCCACAGTTGGCTGACATTAAGCTCCAGCACCATAACTCTCTCAGGTTTTAACCCCATATGAATTACGCAAGGTGATAAATGTTATCCGGGCTTTGGCAGATATTGTGATGGCAGCGTTCCAACATCTCCGCCGTTCGTAACCTTAAACATAAATCTCATAAAAACACCTCCTGGGATCGGAATGTGTCTCAAAGGCCACTTATCACCACGAGAAGTAAATCCATCTCAAACACACGGTTGATCATCCAGCAGGTGCTGCTATTGATGAGCTACTGTTTCTGTCACTCATACGATGACATAAGTACATTTTTAAGTAAAAGCAGATTGCATTTCACTTCTTATACCTCAACACTTGAACTGATAATGAATCGCGATCAGCTGCAGACATATATCCAAGTATTTACTCTGAGCTAAGCACATTTACTCTCCCGGTTTCCCACACTACACATGATGGCCGAAAGTGAGAGGGAACGCAGAACAAATGGATGCAGACATAGACATCTCTGAATCTGCTGCACAGTAGGGAGTCAGCGGGGTGTTAAACTCCCAGAAGCACCGGCGGCTGATCTGTGAGTGTTTGTTAAGTCGTTAAAAAGCGCTCAGTCTGGACTTTCTCATCACAGGAGGGGAGAGAGGGGTCAGGTTGACGTTTAGATTGAAGCTGGACAGGAAACATTAGTGCTGCTAGGAGATCCCACTGAGCTATCCGTGTGTGTTGTGTGTGTCACTGTGTCTACAGAGTGTGAGTGTGTGTGTTTGAGTCATCTTGTAATTACACTGACTTTGGAGGGGTACAAGTGTTTTATCACACTCTCAGTTCATTTGTTAGTCAGTGCCAACAGAGGATGGTGGGAAAGCAAATAGCCTATCTCTAGAACAGTGGATTAAATAATAAAAACGATATTTAGAATAAAAGTAGAGTGCTGGGGAATGAGTCCTCAAACCAAGTAGTGAGTTAGCAATTTGATACTTCTGCTTGCCTCGTCTCTTCATCAGTGGCTTTCTTGAATTGTTTTTTTTGTTAGATGCCTGAAATAAGGTCTGTGGTTAACACAAGCTCAAGAGATTTTCACATGTTTTTAAATGGAAAGATCCCATTGGCTTTCGTCAAGGGAACCAAGGTGCTGCTAACTTCCTGGTTGGCCTACAAACATATGAGTTATCCCTCCAGCAATATGCACGGTATGTGTCAGGTTTGAAGGGCCAGACTACCCAAAACAACAAATATATGAACTCTACCGGAACACTTTCAGAACTGACTCCACGAAAAGCAACACTGACCATAAATCACAAAAAGGCTTGAACAGCAAAGCTCACAGTTGGTGAAAGGAGCACACTCCGAGAAGTCGTTATAACATTTGACTGATTACTTTTTCCGTCCTTTCCCTTCATCCAGGTCAGCATTTGATTGATGACCAAAGTATCCTTCAAAGCACATGATCAGCTGTTGATCCTAGTGTTAAAGGGATGAGGTCAAATCTGGGGATTTAATGTGGCTGAACCCTCATGGGGAGGGGATTTTCACTTTCTACCCTCAAATGACTTGAGGCTTTCCTTCTTTGAGATCCTTCCAATCACTATAAACAGATCATGATGGAGGGGAAGAAGGAGAAGAAGAAGAAGAAGGAGAAGAAGAAGAAGAAGAAGAAGAGAGAAGAACAATAAGAAGAAGGAGAAGAAGAATAAGGAGATGGAGAGATGAAGAGGAAGAGGAAGGAAAAGCTGTGTGCCTTAACACCTTATTCAAACGATTTTAACTTAAACAAAAATAAAATGGAAATACTTAAGTACAAGTGCCTCAAAGTTGAGTATGACTTTTGAACCAAGGTAAATGAGACATTGAGAGACTCCCCCACAGGCAGACAGTTGAGATTCACTCAGCTATAGAGGACACAATTATCTCTTCATGCATCGTCACGTCACGAGACCTTCCCCCAACTGAGCATCTTGATTGTTTGCAAGCGAACCAGCGTGTGTGGTCTCAGGAGGAACCCATATTGGAAGTGTATGGATTGGGATGTTTTAAATGACTTAACAGAGAAAGCAGGAAAAACACTTCAAGTTCACATTTTATTGCAAAAGAAACTAAATGTGTTTTATAGTTAAATGAAAGAAAAAAGACATACAACTAAAGCATATGCAACACTAAATAAAAAGCAAAACTATGCATGCATACATCTAATATGTGCACAAATGCATACACACAGGGTTTCCTCACACAAACACACAATAACAGGAAGATGTTGAGTAGCTCCACAACCAGTGCCCGAACTTAATCGGAAGTTTAATTATGTCATTATTTCCCACTTGAAGGTGATTTCATGAGGCTTCTGTACACAGAGGTATAGGGCGCTTAGTGGGAACACAATCTCTCTCTATACATAATGCAACCATGGACCATCCCATATCATTGCTCAGTCATCCGTGCGCAACATTAACCCATTTTGCTCGGTTAATTTAAGGCAGATATAGTTCACCCATGACCGCTCAAACACAAAGCGACACTTTCCTGCGGGTGAGTTCCATTAAAAGTGCATTTCCTTTCCTTTTGTCCATGTAGCACTCCTCCAGAATACATTACATGCATTAAATCAGCCTTTTAACTGTTCCCATTCAGCTTAATTGCAATGAATATTTAAACCATCTTAAAAAGGTCAAAGCACAAGGAATCCTGCAGTGAGTTGAAACGGCTGCTTAGCAAATATCAGTAACCTTTTAACACTCACACAACGAGCTTTAATCACTTCATGAAGTCCCTATTTACTATGTTCTTTGCACACATGTTAATATGCATATGAGCTTTGAACTCAAATGCTCCCTGCAACATAATATATATTTAAAAGGAATGACAGGTGACAGTCAGCTGAGGTTCAAACAGGTGCAGTCACTGCGGGATTCATGCATTTCACATGATACAGATGTGCCAGATTATGTTAATTCAGCACGATATTAAACACCAAACTGAAGTTGCAAACGTCATTTTGTCTCACCTTGTCAGCTGTCAATTGGTAAACAAAATCACAGCTCCACGTGTCTCATAATTCCTCTCAAAAAGTAGCTTCTAGTTGCTTTAACTCCAGGTTTTTTTCAGCTGTCAAAGAACTCAACAATGCATTAAAATGTGAAGAACAGACTGCAGGCAGAGGGGAACACTGCACCACGCACAATCTCTCAGTGCTCTATAGAAGCGAACACGCTGAAACATTGGGAGTAATATACTGACAACATCATCACGTGACCATCACAAAACTCCAGCTGTAGTTTTCTCTGCAGCCGAGCAGCTGATGCAGAAGAGAGGGGGAGAAAGAGACCACCTGCTGTACATGTGCGCCCCCTGTTGGGTGAAGATGGCATATTATTTGACCTAAAAGTGTTATGCTATCTGAAAAAGTTTTAAACGGAACTTGAAACAGAAACTGGAAAAAGGAAAGGGACATAAATATCAGTATTTTGCCTTAACATAAACTATTAGGACTACTGACCTAATTTGGTGGTGCCTTCATGAGCCCATCAACACCAATCAATATAGTCAAGAAGTTGTACATAAACACGGCAACAGCTCCAATATTCTAGTTCTTAATTTTTATTGTATACATTTTTTATAATACATCACACCTTCAAGAGAAAAGTAGTTTATTGTGTAGCAAGTAGTCTCATATGTACCACTAGCACCAATTCACAACAAAAGTGAGTTGGTAAGGCCCTCAAGGTGAAACGTTTCTTACGCCCTGTTGGATTTATTTGTAATGAAATGACCCCAATAATGAAAAACTTACAAAGACTTAAAGCTACAAAGCTACAGTATTGAAAAGGGAATTCGTTATGATGCACGTGCAATTCAGATATTCCTGACAGCACTGAAGGCATCACGTGCAGCTGCACCTTAGTGGGCGGATCCGGGAAAGGGAATGTTTTTTGTGTTACCTGAACGTTACACTTGAACAGGTAGAGGAATATTCAGTCAAAAACAGACAACTGACTGAAGGTAAATATAACTTTCTACTCAGAAAAACCTACTTAAAGTTTGTTATGACGTAAGTGTTTAGTTTCACCTGCTGTTAAGGATGTTGGTGTTATGAAATGCAGTTGTTGATGGGTGACTGTAATCCCTCTGTGTGCGGGCCGTATCTCTTCCCACGTACTCAGGCAACACGCCAAATTACTTTCATATTTATTACATTTTCACCAGGCTTCATTTACCAGAACAGATGGAAAACTGCTATATCACAGAAAATACGTCTGAGAGTAACTGCGTCAATTCGGCATTTCCCTGCATTTTAAGAAAACACCTTATTTGGTCGAAATGCCAACATTTTCAACCACATTTTATACTTTTTAAATCAACATTGAACGAAGTGTGTGTGTGTAAGGCAATGCAGTTTTCAATGAGTGATGAATGACGAGTATATAAAAAGCTTATACACAACTCTTAATATATTCTTAAATAGTCTTCTTTTAATTAATTCATGTTTAAACCCTTATCATTATTAACATAAAAATCAGCCCTAACTTGCTACCATTGTAGAACGAGTGCATCAAATCCAGATTGCATCAGACTAAGAAAGGCTGCAAAAAAATGAAGTCTCTGAATTTGTACAACTCAACTGTAACATTTTAAGGCTTGTTCAAGAGATTAAGTAATTCTGCAAGGCACCACAAGATGGTAGAATCACACTTTAGGAAGCATGAAGGATGCATCTTGAATTTGTGTCCTGTTAAAACATTACGTCTGGTTTTGGTTCCCATGTGAACTCTGGTGATTCTTTATTTTGTCTTTTGTTAAGACACGTTCAGGATTACATCTTGATTTAGCCAATTTAAGACTGTAGTGATTAATACACATTGTTAGACTGTTTGTGTTTAGGCAACATTTCACTTTTTTCATTTATGAAATTAGTGTTGGAGATATAAATGTTTAAATTCCTCAACTATGGTATCAGCATTTTTTTTTTTTTCTACTAATACTGAAGCTCAGGCATTATATTAAATATGACATAAGACAAATCTAAATACACCCATTTCTGCTTTAGAAAACATCCATCCATGTAACATATTTTTAAGTTTGTGGAAATATGTTTTAAAGGGTTCAAAGTGTGATATTAATGCACTGCTTTCTGTTTAAAACACCTCCCTGGTACCACTTCTCTGCATTATACTTTTAATACAGTTCCATTTGCTATATATATTAAATCAAGATGCCAAGTCAAACCTGAATAGCTGCCCAAAATTCACTTCAACGTCGCTACCCTAAAGCTCAATAAAACGTTCAAAGTAGAAGTAGCCCGGGCAGCAGGCGTGTGTTTCATAAAGATTTAAACACATCCATTTGGATTAAGTTGTGGACATTAATTAATAAATTGCAGTTATAGTACAGGATGTTAAAATCACCTTCAAAAAGCCAATTTCCACACCTTTCTTGTTCCCGTATATTACTTCTGTTTACAAGTCCTGGTTTACTTGTAACTGGGCGACATAAATGAATGCTTCAGAGCAAGACAAGAGGCTACACATCCACTTTATTTCCCTGAAGATATCAGCCCAGTTTGGGAGTCATATAGTTTAGGAAATGCTGTCCATAGGCATAAAATCAGCTGTGAGATTTCCTCCTTTACACTCGACCTGACTCTAGTTGTAAGTTTCCTCCGTGTCTTTGCCCCGGTGTAAAGGTCTTCACCGTCTGTATGTCAATTACTCTGCTGGGACCTCGTTATTGCACCAGCCAATCACGCATCCCCCTTAATTAACACAGGAAATTACATTCCTATATTTATACCCCAATAACCAGACTGGTCTGCTGAAAAGGTCACATCAACAGTTTAGCAGTTTTTCGCCCTATAGCGGTGCAGCCCAGGAGGATATGGCTGGGAGGAAAACCAGAAGAACCGCAGGCTAAAGAAACTTTTTAAGGAGAACTTTTCTGACCTTGTTTGGTGTCGGAGTTGGTGGATGTCACCTTGCTGCTATTTTCAGCTCTGAAGGATCCCTCAACGAGATATTTGTCACCATCTTGGTAAGGCCATTTAATCTCAAGTGTTTTGTTCATTTCCTTACGTTTGAGGGACAACAGACAACAATGTCCTCGGCTAATGCGCCCTGGGTAAAACCGCACATACCGCAAAACCGCCGCCTGCTGGT